AAAACAGCTGCTTGTTTAAGTGAAATACATGGATGGGTTTCTTGTGCTAGTAAAGTTGTGGAGTTGTATTTTGTCTCGCATCAATTATATCAGTTATATCGTTATTGCAAATTTTCAAATATATATCGTGATCAATATTTTGGGCCATGTCGCCCTGCTCTATTTCATACCCAACATCAAGATATGTTCAAATGAAATAATAGTGATCCCACAGACAGGTTCACTGACTCGTGCTACATCACCTATTAAACTGTAACACCTCATGATAGAAACACTCCTTCCAGTACATCCTTCCTCCCATGACACGATTTTCTTTATCTGAGATCCACTTCAGCACAACAGCTGCAAAGAACAGCTGCAACACAGGAGCAGAGCCTTGAAATGAACGGCTCAGGATAGACACCGAGTTAAACTCCACAACCACAGACGCAGGAATTTAGCAGCCATGAGGCTGGCTGAGGATTTTCAGGAATGAGTTTCATCTTTCGGGTGTATCAGGTTCTCCACTACATTTCTCAGCTCATCTCAGACCCCTGTCCACACTTCACTCTAAAAAAAATCCTACACTCGTATGCAGCATATCGAGGAGATCTATGTCAAAGGTCACCTAAAATCAGAGCCTGCAGGTCACGCTAGCAAAAACAGCCCGAACACTGGCTCTCTGACAAACTCACATTCATGTTTACAAGGTGTGGCATAAACACTGTCTGACATTCAGTGGTGTCACTAACATCTTCCATGCAGAGGGATGCAGCTCCGAGGCCACAACGCCATGAAACAGCAGCCCGCTGTGTAGATGTTCCAGGACTCTTACTCCACCAACCACCACACACTAAAACACTCATATTCAGTTAGAGAAAGTTTACTGTTACAGCACCATGTGACCTGCTCTACAGACACACTTCCCATTTTGGTGCCAGCTGCTGTCTTGAGTGTAGAACAAGGCTCAAAGGTAAATTACTGCAACAAACAAAAGCAGATGAAACCCCTCAAAGCTAAGTCGGACACCGTGGCGTGAAGGCGCAGTTCTGCTTTCTTTGCCACCTATTGGTCACCCTGAACCTGCACCCCTCCATCCCTGTCACCTGTCCAAACTGACTCCTGTGGCCGTCAACTTCTTCTGAAGGACAATTTCAGCAGGTGGTAAACAAACCTTTGGACTATCAGAACCAGCTCAGTTAGTGGATGTTAGACTGATTCATGTCCTCCTACAGGCTTTTTATGCTTTTGGTCACCGCGGGGACACTCACTCTACTCTCTCACCCACACTGCCAAACAGTAGTTGAATGTAGGGCTGGGCCATATATTGAGTGTTTAAATATATCAATATATTTTTATACGAGACATGAGATGTGACAGTATCCTTTATATCGATATATGTTACATTATAATTATACTTGTGGAGCTGCGAGTTTGCCTCTCTCGTCTCTACGCTGCGTTACTCCGCCTCACTGAACCTCCCCCCTCCTTCAGCTGCAGGACGGACACGGCAGCTGTCACAGAGGAGCTGCTCGGTAAAAAGAAAACATTTGGTCATTTTAGTGCTGCAGCGTGACGTTAACGCCATAACTGCATTAACGGGGCAAATCTCTGTTAACGAGTTACCGCGGATTGCCCCGTGCGTGGGGCTGCACGGCGTCAACGCGCTAACGAGCTAACCGCGCTAACGCGTTGACGCCTAAAATCCTTTCAGTTTCTCATAAATCGACAGTGCGCCTTATG